AATATATATACTATGTAATACAAATACATTAATAATATATATATAAATATATAATATATATAACATAATATAATATATTATATATTGTATTTTATACTTATTCTATTAATATATATTGTATAATATAATATATGTTGTATTTTATATTTATCCTATTAATATATATTTATTATATATAATATTATAAATATCTATTATATAAATAAAATCTATTAGATAACAAACTATATTATATATTATACAATGAAATATAAAACATATATTCTATATAATGTAATATAATATATTTTATATTTATTTTATTAATATATATATTATAATATCATAAATTATTTTAGTAATATTTATTTGTATTATTTGATATATGTAAAATAATATAATATAATACAAATACAAATATAAATTAACAATATAAATATAATGAGGGAGGCAAAATAGGGTTTGACGGATAAAGTTCCTATTTTAAGTTCCATCATTTTAGTTGGAACTTTTTTTTTTAAGGGAGTAAGGAAGTTCTAGGGTGAACTTCTTTACTATATAAGTTTCGTGCTCCAAACACAAAACTTGTACCGTAATAGGGAAGTTCCTTCTTCCTCCCCCCAATTATCAAACACGTCCCTACAAATTGAAAACTTTAGTCTATTTTAGAAAACTTAGAAGAGTTGAGAAAAGGAAAAAGTTTATATAAGGCTGCAACCTTAAAATGTAGAATTAAATATGTACTTAAAAAATCCATCGAAAAAGGTTGTTTTGATGCTCAAAAACCATTTAATTGATAATCTCAACATCGAGATGTATAAATATGAAAGAAAAAAAGATTTTGAGTCCTAAAAATAGTGCATCTTGCAACACATTATCTAGATTGTCCATTTTCAAGAGTTTCATATGTTTAAAGATCTACTTGATTTTAACTATTTTTGGAGTTTAAACTTTTATAATTAGATATGAAAATTGATTTTGAGATAATCATAAGAATATTTTATACCAAAATTGTATGCTATGATAAAATCTAGAGGTGCGTCTTAATTTGGATTGTTTAAGGTTGGATTATTGAAAATTTTGATACGGATTTTGAATATTTGAAAAGGAAAAAATATGCAGATTTTTAAATCATCTTAAAAACTACCAAAATCATCTTAACATATATTTCCAACAAATATAGTGGTGTTTCTCAAAATTTTCAACAATTTTTTAATTTTTTGTACTTTTTTAATACATTTATGAGGTTGGACGAATTGCCGTGGAACTCGCCCCAATCCGGCCTCGCCATTGGGACGACTCCGAGTGACACGCCCGAGTCGGCGTGGCCTTGGGCGAGTCAAGGAATGGTGTGTTCTCTAGTAGAGAGAGGAAAAGATAGAGATTAATATATAAAGGAAATCAATTACGAGGAGCCAAGGAGTCGTCCTCTTCCTATTGTTTTAAATCAAAACGTTGGGTAGCATCGTAATTTATTGTAGTGTAAGGGTAAGTCTGGTCATTTACCTCTCCTTTTTATATTTTTGCTCGTTAAAGTTGGAAGGACTTGTAGCACAAGAAAACCAGAGTGAGAGACGAGGGTTTCTTGCTCCTATAGCAAACCCAAATCATCTGCAAAATTTCTCCTGTTTTCTTTGAAACGGCCGGCTATGTCTGCTTTGAAGTATCTCGAGTCTCAGAGGAATGCTCAGCCCGAGCTCGCTGAATGGTACAGTTCACTCGCAGATTTATATCAGAGGAAGCTCTGGCACCAGCTAACGTTAAAGCTCGAGCAGTTTGTTGCCCTGGCTGTGCTTCAGGTACCGTCTTTGAATTAGCGTTTTATCATGGTATATACTTACTATTGTATATTCATTCGTTGTGCTGTTTCAAAATGAGGGTTTTTGTATTTCTAGTTTTAGTTTAATATTTCATGTATTCTCCAAAGGTTTTCCCGTGCAGCTGTTTTTTCTTTATATTTAGATGCTTTCTTACGTTGATTTTTTTTTGTTTTTCACTCTCATGGGTTTGACTAATTAGGGTTCTTATGTGTTGTTTTCTAATGTTCTGAGAAAAGTGATTGTGTTTGGTTATGATATAGATCTAGGGATTGAGACACATGTTAGGTGTGGAGTTTCTGTTTGATTAGATACACGGGTTTTCAGTTAGGAAATGGGAAAATTGGAATTAATTGCTCAAACAGCGTTATTTTGATATTGGTTTGTGAACATAGATTTTTGGCATTTCTGGATCTTCGAATTGTGATGATATGTGACATGTTGTTTGGATTAGATACAATGTATATAATTAGTTGGGTGTTTTTTTTTGGGATATATGGACTGAAAGATATTTTTGTATGACTGAAAAATGTTTTTTTTTATTTTTATATAATTTTATTAGAAGAAATACCCGGGTTTTAGCACGACAAATAAGTGCATTGATATGTGTGTTGAATCAGGTTTTGGGGGTGTTGAGTAAAACGACTGGATGCTTGTGAAATTAAGTGTTTTAGTGTTATTCATTGGATATGGGGATTGAATTTATTTGGGTATTTTAACTTAATATTCAGGCTTAGGAAGCCCCTTCGCCTGATAACAATCTCCACCCTGCCCCTGCCCTCAATTCAGAATCATTTTTCACATAAGTTGAAACATGGTCTTTTCTGTTTGTCCAATCAGAAACCACACTCTATGCCCCTTCTATAGCAGTCTCACCCTTAAATTTCCTATCCGCAGTCCTTTCTATAGCAGTCTCGCCCTTAAATTTCTTTTGTCCATAGTGGTTACCAGGCAGTTAATACAACACTCTCTGGTGCTTGTCATAGTTGGTAGTTGGAAGGAAGCTTGGTTGCAAGTTGGAGCGTTGTTTCATTCTAAACATATTTCAGAGACCAATGTGACTCTCTCTCTCTCTCTCTCTCTCTTCTCTACCTTTAATTCAAGGGAACAAAATTTCCCTTGTGTAGCACCCATGTCTCCCATGTATTTCCCTTTCATCAGCTGCGTTTGTCTGCTGCTTGTGATGTCCTCTAGTTTTCAGTGGAACTTCCTTAGATTTTCTATGTGTGTTTCCAATTAGATTTTCTATGTGTGTTTCCCATGTGATTAAATTGTTTTTTCATGCATCTCTTATCACAATTCCCCCCATCTATATTCTTTGTGTGATATGCCTGTGTGTGTGTTGTTAGTGTGATGTGCTTCTGTGTGGGTGTGCGTTCCTGTGTGTGTTAATGTATATTACTTCTATCCATTTGTTTCTCAACACTTCCCTTCCACGTGCCAATTTCCCGAGTCCTTTTAAACTTGTTTTTTTCCCTTTTGGAAATTATGGCTTGTCTAATGGATCGCCTCTAACTCATTACCCTTTCAAACCTCATAATACTCCTGATGTTCACCCTTCACTTGTATGAATATCACTAGCTTTACACTTTTACTCCTCGTTAAGTAGGTCATTTGACCCGTCTTGATTCTTGTTGAGCCTTTAGCATGGAGTGACATGTCACCTGTAAGGCACGTCATCGCCAAGTTCAAAGGTCTAAGACAGGTTTGATTGTGTATTTTATGTAGTCAAGATTAGTGTCTTTGATAAAAGCATGTGTTCATCAAGTTGTACTCAAGGTGGTTGAGATTCAGATAGATTTTTCATTCTTAAGATGCTATGCTTTTTTGGCTTCAAGTCCGGGTGACAATTCACTTTGCTTTCCTGCCTCATGGTAAGCATGAGTGGTTTGTTGCTGGGTGGATGGCAATTTTAGTCAGTTTTGCCTGGCTGATCAAAATGGCTTTGAACTGTTGAAAGTTGGCATGGAATCAGTTTGAGCTTAGACCGAACTGTTTTCTTTGATATAAATTAAATCTCACGGAGGATGGTTGCAAAATACTAGGTCTTTTTATCCCATCTGCTTTTAACATAATGAGGATGTTGCGCATCTATTTGAGTTCTGCTCATATAAATATTTCTTGCTTAAATGCTTAATTCATCTTGGACTTCTCTTTTTCGCAGGCTGGGGATACTCTAATACAACTGTACCACAATTTCATAACTGATTTTGAGACAAAAATCAACCTTCTGAAACTTGCGCACTTTGCTGTCATAGTTTCTCGCCAATATTCAGAAAAGGAGGCTGCTATTAGCTACCTTGAAGGGGTGATTGAGAAGCTCCGTCCTTCTAGGCAAACACGTATAGAGGAACCCATTCTTTATGTCAAGATGCAAATAGCGGCATTCAAGCTTGAGCAAGGAGACCAGAAAGAGTGCAAGAAACTTCTTGAAGAGGGAAAGAGTACTTTAGACAGTATGACAGATATTGATCCTTCTGTCTATGCTAGTTATCATTGGATCTCATCCCAATATCATAAATCTCGTAAGGAATATGCGGAATTCTACAAAAGTGCTCTTCTTTATCTTGCATATACGAATGTGGAGTCTCTTTCAGAAAATTTCAAAGTGGTAAGAATTTCTGAATGCATCTTTGAAGGAGAATGGATGAAGCTAATGCAGATTTTCCATGGTTTCTTAGTTTTTGTTTTCCTTTTCCTGCTGGTTTATTTGATTGCACTTGGTTGCTCTCTTGTGAATATTGGATGTCTTAAATGATGCGAATTTAAGCTTATGCAAAAAGAGGAAATATGGAACTTATTGTGTTTAACTTCTAATAATTGATGATGATGATGATGGTGATGACAATGATGATAATAATGATCAATATTTGAATGCCTGGCTTCCTCTGGGACTTGTCAAGGGCCTGGAGTGTGTTAGCTCGCACCAAGTGGACTCGCTGAGTCTAGTTAGAGCTGGTTGAGTTGCCCATGAAAAATCTCTCAGAAAAAAGGAAAAAAATAAGAAATTCCAAAATACAAAGATAAAAAAATTAAATATATATAAAATTGAAAGAATATGAAAAATTGTTTTATTAGGATTCGAGCTTGGATCTAGTTGATTTGAGCTTTGGAAATTGTCAACCAAATGGTGTTCAAATGTCAAAGTCTAGCAAATCTGAGATTTTGAGAATCTTTTGTGAAAAATAAGCCTATGATTCTATGTAGAACTCAAAAATAGGCTTAAGTAACAAATATCAACCATGATCGAGGTGGGATTGTGAAGAAATCATAAATTTTCCTACTTCAGCCAAACCCTAGTTTGAAATTACAATCCCACTAATCCAAGAAACCTGATGTTTTTCTCTCGAATATACATTTCTAGCAGCTAGAGAATGTGAAAACGACCCTAAACACTAAATTTGAAACCAAATCGGAGCTTGGTTGAGTATAAAAAGTGAGAAAGCAGAGGTTTACACCCCCACCACCACCACCCCCCTCTTGTACTTGACGAATTCTAATAGACTTGGTATGTTTTTTTGATAAAGAATAGACTTGGTACGTTAGGAACTCATTGAGTTTGACAGCTTGCCCTAGTTATTATAGTAACTGGGGCAACTTCAATAACCTGTCAAATCTGAGTACTTCGGATGAGTCCACGTTAGACTCACCTTTTTTCTAATACTGATAATAATAACGTCGAGAATTATAATGGCGATTATACAGATCCGAAAAACAATAATGATGATTTGATGAGGTTGAATGGCGACAATGATTATGATGTTGATGATGCCCAATGCTTTAAAAGGACCACCTCGGCAAACAACGGCCTTGGTCACCAAGGCAGCGTCTTGGCCTCTGAGGCAGGCTCCTCATAATTGAGGTGCCCCAACAATAGTGGGAAGGGGTCTAGATGGGGGTATTGGGGTTGGGTTGGGTTCGATACCAAACCATTGTTCAACAAACGGACCGCCCAGCTCCTAGGCGGTCTAGAAGGCTTGGGCGCATCGCCTAGGCCTAGGCGGCCAAGTTGGGCGATGGTCCCTGGGTGGCTGCCTAGGCGGCCGCACAGCGCCCACCCCAGAGGCGGAGAAGTACTTTTTTTTTTTTTTCTTTTTTTTCAAGATATAAAGTTTAGAATGATGGGTTTTAGGTTCATTTGAAACTTAAACCCACAAGAACCCCTTTTAGAGAGAAAGAAACCTCCAAAAAACTACATTTCATTGGATTGAATCATTAAAGTGTTTCTCAAAGTTTGGAGTTCGAGCAACCAAAGTAAGTGTATTTTTTAGATTGCTTGTTTTATTTTGAGATGTCTTCTTTAAGAGTTAGTCGGAGTGAGATTCAGGTTGGAAATATGGATACAACCCGAATCCAAATGACAAACATTGCGTTAAATACAATTTTTGTGAAAAATACAAAAAGAGGCATAAACTAGTTTAAAAAACATCTTACCGGTATTAAGGGGGATGTTGCCCCTTGTAAAGATGTTCCAGAAGCTATCTGAGAGGAGAGTAAGCAATTTATACGTTATGGAAAACAAAAACAAGAACAAAATCCTTGCCATAGATCTATTTCTATTTCTGCTGCTTCTAGAAGAAGTGATCCGGGTTGGAAGTATGGGTACAACCCAAAACCAAATGATAAAAATTATATAAGGTGTAATTTTTGTGAAAAAGATACCAATGGGGGTATTAGCTGATTCAAAAAACACCTTGTTGGTGTTAGAGGTAATGTTGCTTCTTATACAAAGGTTTCTGAAGCAGTTCGGGATGAGATTAGACATTTTCTGAATTTTGAAGAACCAGAAAATGATGAAAATAAGCCTTGTTCTATGATGTATCTTCTCCAGGTTTTAGTCGGAGTGGTGATCCGGGTTAGAAGTATGGTTATATCCTGAATCCAAGTGATAAAAATCGTATTAAATGTAATTATTGTGGAAATGATACTAATGGGGGCATTTATCTGTTTCAAAAACACCTTACCGGTATTAAGGGGGATGTTGCCCAGTGTAAAATGTACTTGAGGCTATCAAGGGGGAAATTATACAATATTTGAGTTCAGAGAAGCACAAAGAAAATGGTAGAGCAGCCAAGACTCCTAGGACCTCATCTGCACAGACTGCACATACTAGTAAGAGGAAGGTAGAAGAAGAGGAGGAAGAGGCAGATTCAAAAGAAACAAAGGAGGACAAGCGTTATGTTGAAGAGGGAGATGACTCTGATGATGGTGGCCTCGACTCTGATGCATATGATGAGGCTTGCCCTATTGATATTCCCTCTGATGATGACGACGACGACTGAAGACTCTTGCCTCTTGCTGCTGAGTGTTGAGTGTTGAGTCTGTCGGCTGTTGTGTTGAGTCATGAGTGTTGATTTTTGTTAGACTGTATATTTTCTAAATTTCTGTATATTTTTGTTGTGTTGAGTGTTGACTTTTATATCCTACACTTGTATGGTTTTGCAGTTTACTATTTTAACAATACGGATTATCAAAATTCTCTTCTTGACGTCAATTTTTTTTTCCAACTTGGAATATGGTATATTGGTAATTTGGTATGTTTTTACTTTTTTTCAATTGGGCAGCCGCCCAGGTTGTGGACGCTCCCCTAGGCGCTGAGTGGCCTGGACCCCTCAGGCCGCCTAGGATCCGCCTAGCGCTTTTTGATACACCGTACCCAACCTCCCTAATTATGATTATTTATTAAGTCAAAATTATGGTTGTTTATTAAACAATAAGAAAATTGACTTGTAGAGTGTTTTTTGTGCTTTTGTTATATTGTGTGTACATACATGAGTTGAAACTTGAACTGTTGAGACTCTGAGTGATTGAAACTTGTCCATCTTGAACTTGAATTAAAATTACAATTACTTCAGTCATACAACATTGTGGATATGGATTAAGGGCCATACATCACATAGACCTTATGGACTAAACAATGACATGGGACACCTTACGAACAATTATAATGTCTCAGAAGGCCTCTGAATCCATTCTCATGTCCCAAAAGTTAAGAGAAGAAAAGAAATGTTAAGTTGTGAATTAAGATTCATGGTGATCATCAGTTCATCACCACTAGGTCCACCACCATCATCACTATCGTTTGCATTTGATTCCTAGGTCCACCACCATCGTCACCATTGTCACTATCAGTTCATCACCACTAGGTCAACCACCATCGTCACTATCGTTTGCATTTGATTCCTACTCTTCATCATCGAAGTCATTCCACTCCTTAATGTATTATACCCCTTACTCTATCTCCTCTAAGTCAGCCTCCTTTATTGTTCTCAAGCTCTTCCTTGAAGATCTAGTAGCCTATGTTGGCTCGATGTGCTTCCAGCAGCCTCACGAGCTTGGCCCCAACTCAAACTCTTATGGAAACTCTTGATCATATGTATGTCTCTTAGCAATGGGTTCAATATGAAAGCACTCTGGACAAGACTCTTTCAACCTTTGTTCAAACTGAACATGTACAAGCTCATTATGTTTCTTTTGCTCAAGTTTGTTTGTCCTTTACATAAGGACATATTGGATAATGCATGAATGCCTGATTTTGAATAAAGTTAATCTATGTTGGGATGCCTTGTTAGGCATATGAGGAGTGCATATGAGGAGTGATAGGAGCAGGAACATGAGTTAAGAAATCACCAACTCAAATGAGCTAAAGTTGTGCTCACAACCACATGAGCTACAAGTCAGATTCAATACACAACTTCTGCAATTGTCTTAGCTTTTCCCCCTGGTGTGGCCATCATAGAGTTGCATTACCTAGCAAAGATTTATAGTAGATGCTTAGAATATAGAGTATGCTGTAAACTAGTAATGTAACTCGCAATAATATCCTTACTTCGCTACTATAGAAGTCAAGTAATCACAATTTTATGATGAAAAAGTAAGTACAAAGATTACATGGATGGATTTTGGTCTTCTGCCTTAACTGCAATATCTGTCCCAAGTGACTCTATTGAGAACTGGTACATATTCGACTCCATTGTTACTAGGTCCTCAGTTCTGTCATCTTTCATTTTGATATTGAATCCATCCATGATCCAACCTTAGTTATCAATGTCATAATCAATGGAAAAGTAAGCAGGGCATGGAAAATGCTTTGTTGCATGCAAGGGCCTGTATAGCTGGTTGGGACACTTATCATCTACAACCTTTCATTGTACCCATAGTTCTCTGATTCACTTCCTTAATAAGACCCATGAGTTGTTCTTCATCACTATCTACCATGCACAAGACCTTCACCGGTGGATCAAATGCCTCAAGGGAGTAGAGCACCCCATTCCAAAACTGAGGTTGCAAAATAATTCTAAACATTCAATTCTTGGTCCATTGTTTAGAAACAAACATATCCCTGAGGTTGTTTATATAAGAAGTGGCAAATATTGTCACCCATGGCCTCACAACTCCCTCTTCTATGTGAACTTCCTTATCATGCCAGGACTTGTGTGCGACACTTTTGCTTTCTTTATTTTGATTCCACAATTTTCAATTTTCTTATCGCCTCAACCTCGTGGTCGATCCAATGCACCTGCAGTATGCCCAAAAAATACGTGACCTTTTTTCTGACAACAGTGTGGCAGTCAAAATATTGGCTACAACCATATATTTAACCACTCGAAT